GTGGGGGTGGTAGTTGTGGTTGAGACAGTCTTGCTCTGTAGTCCTAGCTTAGCTGGCCTAATGACTCAGTGTAATCTTGAAAGAACTTGAACTCTTGGTTAATTCTGCTTCCACCTCAAGAGTTAGGATTTCACTCATAACCCCCATGAACCCTGCCGTTTTTTTCCATGAGGTTAGAATCTTTGTTGTATTCTCTGCCTCCAGTACCTAGGATAGCACTTGGCATGCTACTTAGTATAATATTTAATGTGAATTTCAACAACACTCAGTTAACTCTTTTGTGCCTCCCAGAATTGATTACTTTCCTTGGATCACTCTCTACTTTCAATCATCAGTCACCCAAATAGATCAAACACTGTCTGTTCACTTCACATTTCCTGAAGATTTCTAGCCACCCACTTAGTTTCTTTGGGACAGTTAATCTCCTCTACCCATGGGTAACATCTGGCTGGTCCTTGTTCTGCCTGGATACACCCTCAACTGCAGCCACTAAGAGCACCACATGTGCACATTTCACTACATTCCCTTTTAAAAGGACCCTGCCCACTTCCCATCCTTCTCTTTCCTTCTGTTCCTCTCCCTCCTTCCTTTCCTCCATTCTTCCTTTCTCTCCCTTCTCCTCTCCTGCTGCTTCTTTCTCCAGAGGCTGGTCTCCCCCTTTCCCTTTAATTCATTTTTTACATTCAATCCCAGTTCCCCTCCCTCCCTCTCCAGCTCTTCCCACCTCCCACTCTTCCCCCTTTTTATGATCCTTTTCCCTAATAAACCCTCTGTGATATCTTGCCCGCTGCTTTTCTTAAATTATAACATCTGCTTATCAAAAGAAGCTAGGTTAGTTTTATTGACATACCTGGTGTTCTTATTGATGGTCATGGTTTAGTTTGCTTTTTGGTCTACTAACACTGGGTTGGCCTCAAATTCAGGATTCTGCCTCAACATCCTGAGTTCTGGGGTTATAGGTGTATACCACCACATCCAGCTTTGACTAATACTAGAAGAGTGGAAGTGTAAGAACATTGTTACAGAATTGTGATGGTCGGTGTGATGGTTTGAGCTCTTAAAAATAGAAGTCCAGGGTCTGGAGGGATGGCTCAGAGGTTAAGAGCACTAGCTGCTCTTCCAGAGGTCCCGGAATTCCCAGCAACCACATGGTGGCTCGAAACCATCTGTAACAAGATTTGGTGCCCTCTTCTGGTGTGCAGGCAGAACACTGTATACTTTAAATAGAAGTCCAGTTACATGGAGACTGTAGCTGTTGAAACTGATTTTCTCTAAATGTGAGTTCCTGGATATATGAGTTACACTTAAACATTTCATTTTAAACATCTACTTAAGAAATAGGAACTTGAGGCTAGAGAATTCAGTGGTTAAGAGAACACTAGCTTTTCTTGCAGAGGACCTGAGTTCCACTCCAGCACCTACATGGTGTCTCAACCATCTGTAAGGATACCAGGCATGCCTTATGTATATATACATACATGCAGGCAAACACTCATAAGCATAAAATAAATATAAAATTATTTGAGAGCTTTTTGAATAATGTTGATGGTGGTAGGGCTCCTCCACTCCTTTATCTCTGTAGAAAAATTGTTGCTTCCCAAAGGCTTTTGCAGAAGAGGCTTTGCTTGGTTGCTTAGTTACTCCTGGTTAAATAAACAATCTAGGTGTTCTATGGAGATTATCTAGATAGGAAAGTTGACACTTTGTAGTTCAAAGACTTTCTAACAGGGTTTTTAAAACAAGAATATAAACAGGAAATGATGGCTTGAATTTTTAACTGCTTATTACAAAGTGATATGGAGCTTTTTTTATTTTAGAGCTTATGGAATTTTAAGAATTTATAGCATCAAATTCTAGAAGTAGAAAGTTTACCTGGAGCATGCTCTTAAAACTATGACCAAGTTAAAGCTGGGCATGGTGGTCCATTCCTTTAATCCCAGCACTTTGGAAGCAGAGGCTGGCAGGTCTGAATCTAAGCAGGGCCTTCCTGGTCCAGCTGCACAGAGGAACCTTGTAGGGGAGTGGGGGACTGGGATTAACCTGAGGGAGGGAATAAGAATTGTAATGTCAAATCTACCAGGCTTTAAATTGTGGGAGATTTATTTTTAAAGAAAATGATCTATCTGAAAGGTAATTACCATAAGATGGCTTGGGGGTTAAGAACACCAGCTTTTGTTCCTGAAGACCTGAGTTCAATTCCCAGGACACAGCCATCTATAACTTCAGTTCCAGGGGATCCAGTAACCTCTTCTGGTTTCTAAGGGTATCAGGCATGCACCTGGTGCACAGACATACATGCAGGCATAACACCTGTGCACAAAAAATAAAAATAATAAAATCCTTTAGGCATACAGCTGTTTTGTTTGGCGTGGTCAAAAGAGGGTGTTGGATCCTGTGTAACTAGTGTTACAGTTGTGGGTGCTAGGGATTGAACCTGACTCTTAGAAGTGCATTCAGTGCTCCTACTGTTGAATCATCTCCAGCACCCCACTCCCAAGATTTTTTTGGTTTGGTTTGGTTTTGGTTTTTCAAGACAGGGTCTCTATGTGTAGCCATGGCTGTCCTGGAACTGTTCTATAGACTGGGCTGGCCTTGAACTCAGATCTGCCTACCTCGGCCTTTCTGAGATCAAAGGTGTGTGTTACCACTGCCTGACCCAACTTTTTATTTAACCTTTCATTGTTAAATTTAGAGCTTATAGTGCCCTGTGTGCAAAAGGGCATGAAAGAAAGTAAAATACACGTGCATATTGTCTAATTAGGGAGCAAGCCTTACTCCTTACCTCCTTCCATTCCAAACAAGCATTTGCTTGGTGCATATGCAGGATAGTTTTCTGTATCCCTCTTCCCAGTTCTTTGACATGAAGGAAGGCACATAGAATGTTGGTCTCAGAAGCTGACATGACTCAGTGTCCATTATTAAGAATGGTTGAAATGTTAAGACTGAAGTCAGTCTCCTGCTTGATTCTGTGTAAAGTTCATTCTGTTGTCAAGGCCTAGAAACAGCCCACCTTGAGTAAGCTTAAAGTAGTTAGAGGCCCGTTGTTAGCTGCTTAGTATGATCATCGCTGAAGAGGTGTTACATCATTAACCTTGCAGAGGCTGTCGCCTGAATGAGACAGCGCGGAAGATACCAGACTGCGTCTTCCTTTGAGGCTTTGGCCATATGACTTCTTCTTCTGCTTTGCAGCAGCCACGGTATCGCCCTGTGGAGGAAAACGCCTACATTGGTTTATATATCGTTGAAAAACAGCGTACTCTGAAACCAGAGTTCTGATCTTCAGCCTTCCAGAGAGGTTTTGAATATAGTATATGTCATCGCCGCTGAACCCTGGTGATATAATATACCGAATATTATTGAGTCGATATCGTCGCCTAGCGCCCCAGATACGGTACCAGTTCCGCTTCGTCGCCAGAATGATATTGGCGGCGCCCCGCTCTATGACTACTGAATCAAATCCAGAAATCGCACGATTTGCAGTAAATTTACTATCACGAGTCAGCCGCTGAGTGATGTCGCGATGTCTATTTATCTTTCCAGTATCCAGCATATCGAGAGAGCATGCAAGTGTCGCTACAGACGGACCATAAAGCTTCATAGTTATAAGAGATTGACGCTTTCCCACTGGCTAAGAGCTTGATTCAGGCAGACAAGACTTGTCTTTTTTTATAACAAAAAGGCCACCAATCTGGCAGTGCAGAGGTGATCATCAAGATCCAGCACTCGAAATCTCGACTCAAAAGCCAAAAATTACGTTACTTTACACCAAATCAGATATATATTAGAAATTTTGCTTTTTATTACATATATATGGCGGTGCTAACGAAGGTCCAGATTAGAACGCTTTTTCGACGATGATTAGGAAAGACTTCCTTTACAGGATCCAAGCAGATATACGATCATGGTCATTATGTTACTGATATGTCTTATCGATGCAAGGTGGCTGAACATACAAATCTAATCCGTGAAAGATAACTATTCATGGTAACGAATAGAGGCTTTTTATATCTATAAAGAGGCTCCTATGTTGGAAAGTAAAGGTATTTATACTAAACTAAGAGATTCTATCATATATGTTTCTATTTTAACAGTATATCCATATCCTTACGATATAAAATGTATCAGAGACTATTATAGTGTTAGATCTACAGATCTTCGTTGATTACTATGTTCACATATTCTATTGTCCTCTGTAGAAATCTCACTTTGATTATGCTGATATTGAGCAATGCTTATAAACCTTTTATCTTCCTGAGCTCTGTCTTAAGAGAAGAACATATTTAGGTATCAGCCATAGTGTTCTTAATGTGAATCAATCGATGCATCTTGCATCTGATCTGGAAATCATCATCAAAAGAACTGACTACCATTTATTTTTATTGATGGCAGACATGGTGCTGAGAGTTCTATATCCAGATTAGCAGACAGCAGGAAGAGACTGACCACTCAGCCTGACTTGAGCTTCAGAGACCTCAAAGTCTCCCTCCCATCCTGCAGTAAGACACTTCCTCATCCAACAAGGCCACACCTCCTAATAGTGCCACTACCATTTTATTCAAACTGCCACAGATGCTTTCATTTATTGGTAACAATAAGACTAATTATAAAAGATGTGTGAGAAAAGGCCTTAGTATTTATAAGTATATATCTCATTATTATTAATTGTTACGTATTTGTGTATTTTATCCTGAGCAGAAAACTAGTGGAGCCAGCAGAGTGGCAAGAGTCAGTGGTAGAGTAGCATCTACACCCACTCCTCACATGCTAAGAACATGTCCCAGATAACCTGTTTACTTATATTTATTTTTGGTTGTTTGAAACCGGATTTCTCTGTTTCTCTGGAGGCTGTCCTGGAACTAGCTCAGGCTGGTCTTGAACTCAGAGATCCACCTGCCTCTGCCTCCCAAGTGCTAGGATTAAAGGTGTGTGCCACCCACCACCACCCAGCAACCTGTTATTTTTAATACATTGTATGATTAGAATTTACTGCTTTGTTTCAGATGGAGAGGAGAAATCCTATGGGGGCTGTGAAGGTCCTGACGCCATGTATGTCAAGTTAATATCTTCTGATGGCCATGAATTTATTGTAAAAAGAGAACATGCGTTAACATCAGGAACAATAAAGGCCATGTTGAGTGGACCAGGTAGGTAATGCAGTGTTTTTCTTCATATATCCTTAATACATGAATTACAGCATTTGAAGAAGGCAGGTGCAGTGGTGCATGCCTCTCGTCCCAGCCACTTGAGAGGCTTGAGGTTTGGGAGGACTGCTTCTAGCCTAGGAGTTTAGACCAGCCTGGGCAGCATAACGAGACACTGGGGACATAAAGCCAGGTACCTGTTATCCTAGCTAACACTGCGGGAAAAGGAAGAATACAAACAGCCAATTCTGGCCTCGAAATCGAACACACACCGCATGGTTGTGCAGAGAGGGGAAGGAAGAAGCTTGCGCCATTGCATTACATTATGTTGAGAAGATTTTCCATTTTCTGTTTTGGAGGTTTTTTTTGTTTTGTTTTTGTTTTTTGTTTTTTTTTTGGTTTTTGGAGACAGGGTTTCTCTGTGGCTTTGGAGGCTGGAACTAGATCTTGTAGACCAGGCTGGCCTCGAACTCAGAGATCCGCCAGCCTCTGCCTCCCAAGTGCTGGGGTTAAAGGCGTGCACCACCAACGCCCGGCCCTTGGAGTTCTTTCTATGTGTATGTGTCTAGTATCTTGCTGTTTCTGTCCTAGAGACCTTGTTTACCATAATTTAACCGAAAGACCCTACCTTTCTGAGGTAGTTGAAGTTAAGATTCCCTTGAACAAGAGGCACACACTGTGCAGGCCATAACATATATAATATAACATGCCATTTTGTTTTTCAGGGCAGTTTGCTGAGAATGAAACCAATGAGGTCAATTTTAGAGAGATCCCTTCGCATGTGCTATCGAAAGTGTGCATGTATTTCACCTACAAGGTTCGCTACACTAACAGCTCCACCGAGATTCCTGAATTCCCAATTGCACCTGAAATTGCACTGGAACTGCTGATGGCTGCAAACTTCCTAGATTGTTAAATAAAATAAATTATAATAAACTGTTAATTTTTCAGTATTTAATACCTGTAGTTCAGTTAGTAATTTTTTCACATATAGCATGTTGCTTGTATGAAATTGAACTCAAAGTTAATTGCTGAGCAGATTCCTTCTGTCATTTGCATAGCAGAGTTGAAATTTGTTTGCTACATCAACAAAGGGCGTTCACAAGCCAAGAAATAAACAAGTAATGCCAGTTTGTAGGTGGTTTGCTTTCTCCTTTAAAATTCTATGTAATATAGCCGGGTGGTGGTGGCGGCACATGCTTTTAATTAATCCCAGCACTGGGAGGATCTATGAATTCTAGGCCATCCTGCTCTATAGAGCGAGTTCCAGGACAGGCTGCAAAGGTACAGAGAAACCCTGTCTTGGAAAAAAATCAATACAGCAAATCCTGGGATGTAAGGTGAATACAGGGCGAAGTATTTTTATGTTTTCAGTGTTTTTAAGAACCAGTCCTGATCTTAACAGCCACGGAGCATTACTAAAGTTATTGAAATAATTACCTGGAAAACATGTTTATAACTTAGCCAAGCCTTCATTTTGTAACTCAAAAAATAAGAGTTGAAATTTCTTAATGTCTTTTTTGATAAACTGCAGTGTTGTTTAATTGTACCTTGTGTTTTGTTTATTGCTACAATTTAAGAACTTTATTTAAAAACAATTTTGGAAGATTACTAGGTGCAAGTTTTGGAATAGTAACTGTTTACACTAGCCATCTAGTCAAGTAAATGATGATTTAAGAATCCCTGTGCATTGTGTGCATTTCAACAGTCCAAAGCATGATTTCACTGACCTCTGGCTCCCTTACATTTTTATTCTTCATGGTCCCTTGGGATTACCTTGTATGTGTTGAAATGTGTCCTGCTACATTTCATGATTTTGTTCTAATCATAGAATTATAGTTTTCCTGCTCTGTTGGAATGTTGTAAAATAAGGACTGAGCAATTAGTTAAACCCCATGGTGCACTTAGACAGCTACCCTCCACTTTCATGTTCCAGTCAATCATACTAAAAGCTGTGGGGCTTCTGAAGTCACTCAGGATGTTATCATTCAGCCTTTATACTAAGATAGAACATCTTAGGTGAAGGGGCCAGCTCTAGAACAATCTGTCCTAGGACTAATACAGATTAATTCTGGTAGCTACAGAAATCTAAAGACAACTGATCCTCTTAAACCTGCAAGTTGTGCTTTCCAGCATATTGGAAACATTAAATGGAAACTGGTTATCTTTAGCAATGTTTCAAGGCATACTGATACATAGTTTAGTTCTGGGCTGGGGGTATTTAGAACTCAGTGGTAGTGCTATCATGACAATGCTCTCCAGATAATCTCTCTAGTTAACATGGATTTGCTCTTTATATCAGATAGCTATAATCAAAGGCCAAAAGATGGATTTCAAAAGGCAATAGCTAGAAATAAAGTTTAGCTTGGACCAGTATTTCCAGAAGTAACCTTCAGAGCATCAGAATAGCAACACACTAGACCAATTTGTACATGATGCAGCAAATGGCACTTGGTGTGTTAATAAAGTTAATATTGACTGAAAAGGTATGAACACTTGTTTACTCTTTTTTAGCTTTGTCTCCTATACATGAAAGGCTTAACTCTGTCAGGATGTCTTGCCGTGTGATCAAATTGTTTGGTTCAATTTAAGGTAGTTTCATATAGAATCAAGATGTTTTCTGATACTTGGTATTATACTTTTCAAGTTATGTGTAAAGTTTCCCATACTTTTTCTGTGTAGAAAATACTATAAAATTTATATATTAATTCTGGAGCCTGAAGATTAGTGACATCAAATTGAGTTTATATGCATCAAGTTTCATGAAGCGCTCTTGTGCGTGGATGGTTAGTGGACATATGTTAAGTGAAATTAAATTGCTGTCAAAGGCTTGATGTGTTTCAAGTGAATTCCGTTTAAATAGGAAGTTTCTTACAAATGAACAAGGTTTGAATATATCCGATTAGCAGTGCTAAAATGAGCTGTGTGGGGCTGGTGAGGACTCAGTTAAGAGCACTTGCTCTTGTAGAGAACCTGTTACAGCATGCGGGTCACACCTGCCTGTAGCTCCAGGTCCAAGGGTTCTGACATCCTCAGCGGCACCTGCACGTAACTAACACACAGGGTGCAAGGAGGCACACAGACATTTCAGTTGTCATCAGCTCTGGTACTCAAGATGTTGACTTCTGTGTGTACAATTATTTGCTATAAATTTGGGGTAGTACTAAGCTGATATTTGTGTTAAGATTGTATCTTCCTATTCTAAAACTATTTTGGTGATCTAGTTTTTAGAAGTCTATCTTGTGTTGATGCCATGCAACCTTGAACCAAATCCAAAGTTCTCCATTATTATATTTACAACCTTGTGTGTGTGGGGGATGAGTGTGTGTGTGTAGTCTTTTAAAAATATTTTTTATGTGAGTGTTTTGCTACATGTGTGCCTGTGATGGTTGGAAGCCACGCTGTGGGTGCTAGGAATGGAACCTAGATCCTCTACAAGAGCATCTCCTGTTCTTTACCACTGATCTATTGTTCCAGCCTCAAATGTGTGTTGTATAGGAAACAGGTTCTAGGTTCTCCAGGCTCTCTTAAGATGTGTTTATTGCTGGTTGGTGGTGGTGCACAGCTTTAATCCCAGCACTTGGGAGGCAGAGGCAGGTAGATCTCTGTGAGTTCAAGTCCAGCCTGGTCTACAAGAGCTAGTTCCAGGACAGCCTCCAAAACCACAGAGAACCGGTCTTGAAAAAAACAAAAATATTTATTAAGTATAGTGTTCTATTTGCAGGGGCCTCAGATCTCATTACAGGTGGTTGTGAGCCATCGTGTGGTTGCTCAGAATTGAACTCAGGACCTCTGGAAAACCAGCCAGTGCTCTTAACCATTGAGCCATCTCTCCAGCCCCCTAAAGATTTTTATTTTCAGGTGTGTGGGTGGGTGTGGGTGTCAGGTACCCTAGAGCTGGAGTTACAGGCAGTTGGGTCCAACCTAGGTGCTGGAAAGCCAATTCAGTTCCTCTGAGAGGATAGGAAACACTCTATTTTATTTTACTTTTTCTTGGTTTTTTTTTGGGGGGGGGGGAGGGTTTCCCTGTACTGTGTTTTGGATGCTGTCCTGGAACTCACTCTGTAGACCAGGCTGGCCTTGAACTCACAGAGATCCTCCACCACCACCCAGTTTTCGTTTTTTTGGTGTTTTTGTTTGTTTTTTTAGAAACAGGGTTTCTCTGTGGCTTTGGAAGCTGTCCTGGAACTAGCTCTTGTAGACCAGGCTGGTCTCACACTCAAAGAGATCCCCCTACCTCTGCCTCTCGAGTGCTGTGATTAATGGTGCGGGCCACCAACGCTGGGCTTCTTTCTCTAGGCTTTCTTGACAGTAATTTATTAGCCCTGCCTCAGAGCTTCCAAGGACCAGAAACTGTAGGTGTGCACCACTGTCCCCAGGTCTGCCACCCAATTTCTCCAATGAGGGTTTTTTTTTTTTTTTTTACCATAATAGGGTAACAAGAACTGTGAACTAAACAGAGCACATTACTGTTTGGTTGGGACTTTTTTGTTTATTTTTCCTAGTTTACGTATTAAATGTTACATCAGTACTGTATATACAAGGTTTTGTTTGTTTTGTAATGCTGGAGAATGAGCTTAAGGCTTCAAGCAAAGTCTCTGTGGTAGTTTTTTATTACCCACTATATAGAGATACTGTCCAGTTCTAGCTCTGATTCTCAGTAACTGTTAATGCAAAGGGAAATTTATGTTCTGTGATTTTATATCAGTATAATTAATATGAGGTCAACCTGGCATTTATTTTTAATACATGTATTTTCACCAAGTTAACATACGTAACTTCTTTATGTCTAGCTAAGGACAAAAGGGTGGATTTTTGGTCCCCCCCACGAGGACACAATTTTTAATGTCCTGTAAAAATGTCGGTTTACTTTCTCCACGTTCTCTAGTTTGAGTCCCTTCTTGTTACCTCTCCCTGTGATGCTTGGATCAAGCCCAATGCTTTGTGCTTAGTAGCAGCAAGCCCTCTACCACTGGGCTCCAACCCAGTGTTTTGTTTTATACTGTACTTATTATGGTGTATAAGACATGTATGGGGGCTAAGGATGGCATTGTAGAGTTGGTTCTCTCCTTCCATTACATGGGTCATTGGAACTGAACTCAGGTCGCCACGTTTGCAGGACAAATGCCTTTATTTGTTGAGCCTTCTTACTGATGGCTAAAGGGTTTTTGGTTTTTTTTGTTTGTTTTAGACTTTTTTTTTTCTTATTTGTGTATGTGTATACCATGTGTGTATAAATGCTCTCAAAGAACAGAAAAGGGTGTCAAATTCCCTGCGGCTGGAACTACACGTGCTTGTAAACTACCCATGTCGGTACTGGGAAACCAACTTGGATCATCATCTGGAAGGGCAGTAAGCACTCATAAGCCGCCTCTCCAACTCCCATTACTGCATTTTTGAATAGCTGGTGACAGGAAATGACTTTCCTTAATTTTTTCAGTAGTCAGATGGTTTTTATCCAAACTTAGCACATAAAGGTGGCGCTGGATCAGTGTGGTACATTGCTAGTGAAGTCAACACTGCTTTGTCATTATGCGACATTTCTGGGGAGATGTGTGTGAGCAGACATCTGTTCACCCCAGAGAAGGAAGCAGTGGCAGAGAACGTGCAAGGTCTTCAATAAAGTTACAGGAGCAGAAATGACTTCTGCATCACCAGAAATCTGTCCAGCGTTGGTGACAGTTCCTGAAAGCTGGAAATAAGGAGCACACTGCAGGAAGCTCAGCAGGCTCCATTGATCTCTGCTGCTTCTAAACAGCTTGCCTTGTCTGAGCATATCTCAGCCGTCAGTACTGCATATATATGTACATGTATATGTGTATATACTCATGCATGCTTGGGAATGGACGGACTGCTGAGTCTGGTCAGCTTTAGGGATTTTCTGAAACTATAGAGTTGTTTGCTTTTTAAACTTCCTGTAGGATCGAATGTTTCACCTTTAGAATATCTTGTTTCATCTTCTGTGAGCTTCCCTCCAAAGTGGATGGTTTTAATCACAGGATATTTCTACACAACATTATTGTAGCCAGAAACCTAGTACAAGAACATGTTGTAACACAGATCCAAATTTAGAATTGCAGGCCCAACCTTGGAAATAAAACTAAACAGATTGCATATGACTTCAAATATACCTTTCTGGTTTTGTGAAAACATTGATGAGTGGGCCATAAATTGTTCACTTTGGGGCAGTGGGAATACAGGGTCTCATTCTGCAGCCCAGGCTAACTTTGAACTTGATTTGATCATCCTGTTTTAGCCTCCCAAGTAAAGGGATTACAGACGTAATCCACAACACCCAGCTCAAATGCTTTATGAAACTTGTTTTACAATGCAGAATTTAAGTTTTGTTATTTTGCCCACAGTAGGTAGGGTTAACATATATTAGATTGTTTGCTTGTTTTTAACATCACGTCAGACTTCCTATTTTGGGCATAAAATTACTGCTTTTAACAGTAAAGATACCCCCAATGAGAATCCATTTCTAAACTTGTTACATGCTTAAGGAATAACTGTACTAGATAGAGTCAAAGGCTTAAAACTAATGAAACACTACAATTCAAATTTTTGCTTTTGAACACCATTTCCATAATGGTGATTTTGGTCCTCTTAAGAATTGGAAATACCCTTTACAATTGCCACAAACAACATAAAATACCTTGGGGTAATGCTAACCAAACAAGTGAAAGACCTGTATCGTAAGAACTTTGAATCTTTAAAGAAAGAAATTAAAGAAGCCCTCAGAAAATGGAAAGATCTCCCATGCTCTTGCATAGGTAGGATCAATGTAGTAAAAATGGCAATCCTGCCAAAAGCAATCTACAGATTCAATGCAATCCCCATTAAAATCCCAGCACAATTCTTCACAGACCTTGAAAGAACAATAATCAATTTTGTATGGAAAAACAAAATTCCCAAGATAGCTAAAACAACCCTGTTCAACAAGGCAACATCCGGAGGCATCGCCATCCCTGACCTCAAGCTCTATTATAGAGCTATAGTCCTGAAAACAGCTTGGTATTGGCACAAAAATAGACAGGTAGACCAATGGAATCGAATTGAAAATCCGGGTATTAACCCACACACGTACGAACATCTGATCTTTGACAAAGAAGCTAAAAATATACAATGGAATAAAGAAAGCATCTTCAACAAATGGTGCTGGCATAATTGGAGACTGGCATGTAGAAGAATGCAGATCGATCCATGTTTATCGCCATGCACAAAACTTAAGTCCAAATGGATCAAAGACCTCAACATAAATCCAGCCACACTGAACCTCTTAGAATAGAAAGTGGGTGGTACCCTTGAACGAATTGGTACAGGAGACAGCTTCCTGAACATAACACCAGTAGCACAGACAGTGAGATCAACAATTAATAAATGGGACCTACTGAAACTGAGAAGGTTCTGTAAGGCAAAGGACACAGCAAGACAAAAAGGCAGCCCACAGAATGGGAAAAAATATTCACTAATCCCACATCTGACAGAG